GTGTGTATATATATAATATATATCACATCACATATTCACATGTGCAGGTTTCCTATGCACACGCAAAGATGGGCTGGTATCAAAGCCCAAAACTACCCACACAGAAGAAATATATATTTGAAATATAGTTTAAAACCATTCTTCCCAAATATATTGCCATATATTTGAAGTGCTACAATTTTGGCTCTATTCAATACATTTAAAAATATATTACAATGAATTTAAAAAAAAAAAAAAAATATATATATATATATATATATATATATATATATATATATGTATATATATATATTTATTTTTATTTTTTTAATTCATTGAAATATAATTTTTTAAATATGTGTGTGTATATATATATATATATATGTGTGCGTGTGTATATATACAGTGTATATATTATTATTTATATATATATATATATATATATATGTGTGTCTATATATTATTTATGTGTGTGTGTATATATATATATATATACAGTTGTGACCAAAATTATTCAACCCCCACTGAAATTGAGTGTTTTGGCCAGTTTGACATTGCTTTTGATCATTCAAGTCATCTTGCTTACATTTACATTAAAGAGGCACTTTGTAGGTCAGACAAATATAACATAACATTATAATGAAATAACCACAAATGTCTTTTCTGTGCTCACAGCATTTATCAGTTTTATTCAACCCCCAAGTGACGAATCAATCTTAGTACTTAGTACAGCATCCTTTTACAGTTATAACAGCTTTTAAACGTGAAGCATAGCTTGACACAAGTGTTTCTTGCAGCGATCTACGGGTATCTTCGCCCATTCTTCATGGGCAAAGGCCTCCAGTTCAGTCACATTCTTAGGCTTGCGCACTGCAACTGCTTTCTTTAAGTCCCACCAAGGTTCTCAATCGGATTTTAAAGTCTGGTGACTGCGATGGCCACTCCAAAATGTTCCAGCCTTTCCTCTGCAACCATGCTCTAGTGGAACTTGGAGGTATGCTTGGGATCATTGTCCTGTTGAAGGTCCAACGTCTCCCAAGCCTCAGGTGGTGTGAACGGACTGCATCACGTTTCCATCCAATATTCGTCTTGGTACTGAAGAGAATTCATGGTACCTTTGCACACGCTGAAGCTTCCCTGTACCTGCAGAAGCAAAACAGCCCCAAAGCATGATTGACCCTCCACCATGCTTCACAGTAGGCAAGGTGTTTTTTCATCATAGGCCTTCAATTTCTTCCTCCTCCAAACATAGCGTTGATCCATGGGCCCCAAACAGTTCTAATTTTGTTTCTATTCAGTCCACAGAACACTATCCCACAACTTTTGTGGTTTGTCCACATGGCTTTTGGCATACTGCAGTCGACTCTTCTTATTCTTTGGAGACAGCAAGGGGGTACGCTGGGAGTTCTGGCACGGAGGCCTTCATTACGCAGTGTGCGTCTTATTGTCTGGGCTGAAACTTCTGTACCCACATCTGACAAATCTTTTCTCAGTTCCTCAGCAGTCACACGGGGACTTCTCTCCACTCAACGCTTCAGGTAGCGCACAGCAGTCGAAGTCAGCATCTTCTTTCTGCCACGACCAGGTAGCGTTTCAACAGTGCCCTTTGCCTTGAATTTGCGAATGATGCTTCCTAAGGTGTCTCTTGGTATGTTTAACATCTTTGCAATCTTCTTATAGCCATTGCCCTTCTGTGAAGAGAAATCACCTCTTCTCTTGTCTTCTGGACCATTCTCTTGCCTTCACCATGTTTGTAACCACACCAGTAAATGTCTAGAAAGAGCTGAGTATCACAGTCATTTTAAAGCTGCCTAATTGGTGCTTATTTATGCTTGATTGCTGCTCGGTGACATCCACAGGTGTTTTCAATACCTGATGGAAAGAACCTGTATGAACCTCTGTTCTTCAGAGTGGTAGTCTTTAAGGGGTTTGAAATAATTGTGCAATGAAGAAAACCACATAAAAAACCATTTACTACTGTATTACTATAAACAATTGAAATTTTAGTTGCATTTGGGTAGTTACAACGTCCTTGTAGGATTTGATTCTGAATACAATTCCAAATGTACACTATAGTCCCTAAAACCCCTTTTACAGCATTGGGGGTTGAATAATTTTGGTCACAACTGTAGATATTTGTATGTAAAAATCTATGTTAAAATTACTTTTTTACATGTGTTAAAAGAAATCTGAAAAAAATATACAGCTTTGCTATGTACACACAAAGATGGGCTGGTATCAAATGCATTTTTTAAAACATACAGAAATTATTTTGAAAATATATTTTTTGAAAATATTTTTCAGATAATTTGTAATAAAAACACATTTCAACATACAGTGTGTCAAATATATATACTATATATATATATAAATATATAAAATTTTATTTTTAATTAATTTGTTTAATTTTATTTTATTTATTGAAATATTTTTTGAAATATATTGAATATGGTCAAAATTGTAGCATTTTCAAATATGTGTAAATATATTTGGGAAGAATATTTTTAAAATATATTTCAAGTATATTTTTCTTCCATATGGGTTTGTGAAAACACTCGTATGTGAATAATATTTTTAAAAAAATATATTATTTTAAAAAAATATTTTTCAGATATTTTGAAATATATAAAAAATGCATTTCAACATACAGTAGACTCTCTCTCTCTCTATCTCTCTCTAGCTATATCTATCTATATATATATATGTATATCCCCCCTCCCTCCCCTAGATTGTAAGCTCCAAAGAGCAGGGCCCTCAATCCCCTCATGTTTTGCATTGTATTGGTATTGTTCTGTTACATGTTCTGTCCCATACATGTACATAAAGCTGAGCGAACTATTGGCGCTTTATAAATACTGTATAATAATAATTATATATATATAATACTGTGTGTTGAAATGCGTTTTTTATATATTACAAGATATATGAAATATATATTTTTTAAAAAATATATTTTTTTAATTATATAAAAAAAGTCTTTTCAAGATATATTTTTACATACATTTGTAAATGCATTCCAAAAATGTAGATTTGTATCTTTAAAGACATACAGTATATTTGAAATGTTTTGTATATATATAAAAAACGCATTTCAACATGCAGTATATGTGATATATATATATATATATATATATATTATATATATATATATTATTCTATATCATGTTTTTGAAGAATATTTTGAAAAAAATATATTTCAAATATATTTTTTTTTCCATATGGGTAGGTCTGTGCCGCAAGGCTTTGACAGGATCGGAAGGCTGGGCAGAACCCTTCAGCAAATCCGTGCATGCGCCAGAATAACAAATATGGCGGTAGTCAGAGTTGTGGGCAGTGATAAAACTAAAGGAGGCTGAAGTTCCACTTTAGGGTGATCAATTTTCAGCTTTCAGCGCTGTCGCATATTGAATGACAATTGTGCAGTCATGCAACACTGTACCAATATAAAATATTTCATCATTTTGTTCAAACAACAGAAGTTTTCCTTTGGTGGTATGTAATCACCACTGGATTTTTTTTATTTTTTGCTAAATAATTGAAGAAAAGACCAAAACATTAGTTTTTTTTCTTCATTCTGTTATAGAATTTTGAAAATAAATAATCTTTCTTCATAAATGTATTCTGCTACATTTCTTTGATGAAAATAACCAAAATCAGTGTGTATTATTTAGTCTGTAGGAAAGTTATTGAGTCCAAAAAATATGGGATATCTATCTGAAAATCGATCAGTCCTGATATACTGATGGCCCATCTGATTTTTTGAGGCCCCAAAAAGCCAGGACAGTTCAAATATCCCCCAAATGACCTCTTTTTGGAAAGTAAAAAACATTCCCAAGGTATTTTAGTAAGAGGCATGGTGAGAAATTTTTTTTTTGGAATTGTAATTTTTTTTTGTCACAATTTTTTGGAAAATGAAGAAATTTAAAAAAAAAAGTTTTTTTTTCACTTTTTTTTTTGCATACTGTCACCAGTGCAGTACAGTGTCATCATATAACTGGTGTGGCGGTGATCAGGGACACTGAATAAAAAAACAAAAAATGTAATAATTTTAATAAATTCTAATTTTTTTTTTTTTCGATTTTTTATTTTACATAGTATTTTACCATAGTAACACTGTACCACTCTGGGGAGGTGATCAGGTTTGTTTTGGGTTTTTTTTTTACACACACTATGATTGCTTTTAACAGTGAATTTCACTGTTATAAGCAACCATTTTTTTTCTGAGTGAAATCTATTCGCTCAGTGTTTACTATTGTGATTAGCTGTGATTGGCCACAGCTAATCACATGGAACAGATGGGTTGTGATTGGCCCTATTTGTACCATGTGATCACTGTGACCAATCTCACAGAATACCACAATAGTACATGAATGGAAGCTGTCCATTGTGTACAATTGTCATGTGATCTGATGTGATTGGTCACAACCAAGGGCAGACTGATCATTTGGGAACCCGGGCACTTCCCGAGGGCCCGGGGTCAGTAGGGGGCCCCATGAGATGCCCCTGGTACCTTTCATAGGTTTTTTTGGGTGTGGTTTGAGTGTGGGCGAGGACACAGGGGCCCTGTGATCCCTTACTGCCCGGGGGCCCCATGAGTTGTCAGTCCACCCCTGGTCACAACTATACATGGTATCGGCAGCGTGCCGGTACACTGATCTGTCATCCTCTGTGTCTAATGGTCAGAGCAGGTGACAGATTGTCCCACAGCGCAGCCCGTGGGTCAGGAGCAAGCCGCGTTCTGGGATGTCCAACCCAGAACGGCGAATGTCCCGGCCAGCCATCATTTTACTATAGGCCAGGCAGGAAGGTGTTAAATTAAAGACAAAAAAGGAAATTCATTAGCAGGTTGAAGAAAGGGGATAGTGACCAGATAAAGCAAAATATAAGCAGGTCAAACTTCTATTTTATATAGAACTTTTATATAGATTAAAAATCATGTTTAAAGAAGAAGCCTTTCATGAAGCAGGAATATAGTTTTGTTAGTAGATCATTTTCCTCTTCTTCTCATCTGAGGACACATCTCATTCTTGAAGGACCTTTAATCTTCCCTCTAGGAGGATGGCCCTTTGTTTGAGGCTTTGATGAGCAGAACTGTATTCTCGGAGCAAACGAGCAAACCGAGCGTGTAAGGTGTTCACATTAGATTCCAGAAGCTCCAATTTTTCCTCAGGAGATTTACCGTTCATCGCGTTTATCTCCTTCGTCTCATCAAGCAGACCTTCCTTGGTCAGTATTTCCCTTCCTCTCTCTTCCAAGATCTTCTTGGCATCTGGATATTCTTCTAAAGCTTCCATCAGGTCGTCCTTCGAAAGGCAGAAAAGGTCAGAGTACCCAAGGCTCCGAATACTGGCAGTCCTACGATTTCCCATCTTACTCCCTTTGATATTGAGGATACTAATCTCACCAAAACAACTCCCGGAAGTGAGGATAGCATACTGAGTTATTCCATCCTCTCCGACAACAGCAAGCTTCCCCTCCTTGATTATATACATCTCTCTTCCAATGTCTCCTTTACGGCAGATGTAATCGCCGGGGCTGAAAACCTGAGGATGGAGCTTCAGGACCAACTCAACCAAGAGGCCAGCTTCACAGTTCTGGAAGATCCGAACCTGGGACATAAGCACAGGGTGCAAATCAGAGTTGCAAATGAATCCAAAACTTAAAGAGGAACACCAGGTATGGATTGTTTGCACAGTTACATGGGTCCAGCTTGACCCAATGTAAGTATATTCATACCTGGGGGATCCCTGTGGAAGCCTGAAATCCCTGTAGCAGTGGCAGCTACTACAGTGATTGCCAATGTCCTCTGAATCCCATGACAAGCAAAGCGACTTCCATGTTGCATAGTGACCACAGGGAAGGCCTTTGCTTGGCACAGACACCATTCACATTTTCCCCAATGAACGAAAGGCGTTCTCTGATTGAGTGAGGTGGAGATCGTGATGTCACCGCCCAACCTTTTCACCTCATCCAGTCCAAGAACACTTTGCATTCTACAAGAAAAATGCAAGGCGCTCTGTGAATAGCAAGTGTTTAATCCCTATTGGTTACTATGCAGAAGGGTTGCCGCTCAGCACAGGACCTGGAAGATAGCAGTGATAAGCTCTTGGATATATATTGAGCAGCACCTAGTACAAAAGTTCTCACCACCTAAAGGTTTTTTTGAAAAGCTTATTGGTTAACCCCCCTGGCGGTATTCCCGAGTGTAGCTCGGGGTAAAGTTTCAGCACCACAAGCGGTAACCTCGAGCTACACTCGGGAATACACTGCAGCGTTGCTCCGGGATCTCTTCTTCACTTACCTTGTCCTTCGCTCCTGCGATGTCCCCCCTGCAGTGTCCCCGGCAATGTCCTCCGGCCGATGCCGGCATCCGTCTTCCGGGTTCCGTTCCCTGCGACGTCAGGACGTACGGGGACAGAACTGGTGGGAAATTTGAAAATTGTAGAAGTGACATTCACTAAAATCACATAGTAAAACATAACTGTATCAACCCATTTCACATACATTTTGTCCCGAGCAGGGGCGGACTGACCATTTGGAAACTCGGGCACTGCCCAAGGGCCTGGGGTCAGTAGGGGGCCCCATGAGATGCCCCTGGTACCTTTTTCATAGGCTTTTTTGAGTTTGGGCAAGGACACAGGGGCCCCATGATCCCCTATTGCCCGGGGGCCCCATGAGTTGTCAGTCCGCCCCTGGTCCCGAGTGCTTTGTCCTGTGTCCTGCCTGCATTTTTACTGTTCTTTCTGCCTGGAAACTGAGAAACGTCCATGGCGTCCAAAAAGCGTCCTTTTAGGCCAAAAGAGGTTTTAGACCGGCTAGAGAACAGCGATAGTAAATCAGAACCACTTGCAGAATTGAGTGATAATGATTCGTGGGGGGAAATTCGTCATCGGACACTGAAAACGATTTTGCGACTTTGCTCAGTAATGTGCGAACTTGGCACTCTATTTCAAATTTCAGTGTTTTTGGTTTGATTATATTATTGAATTAAATTTATTTTTATTATATTATTATTTTTATATGATTATTTATTATATATTATAATTTATGATTTCGTGTTTCAAATTTTAACATACCCGGGATGTTTACTAGACTATTGTTCGGACAGATTTCAGTGAGTTATTCCTAAAAATTACAGGCCTACAATAAGAAAAATACATATTTCCATGCAAAAAAATGTACCGGTTTGAGCACAGAAATATGGACTTAATCAGAACGCTAGGGAGGCTACGAGCATCAAATACAGCCAACATGTTTCAGAGCAAAAGCCTTCTTCAAGTCTTCAGCAGTATTTTTAGACTCACAATGGAATACCCAGGGAGACCTACATTAAGGGCTAGTGTCTTCTAAGAACAGCTGGCTGAATTTCCTCTAAAACACGTTATCCACTATAGGTATCACAATCAAGTGTTATTTTCTTAAAGCAGAACACCATGTGAAAACTGCTCATTTTGTCCAGGGCTTTAGTGAAAAAGCTATACTTACCCCGTCCTCTCATCCTCCGGAATCTGCATTCCCCCCATGTCCAGTGGTGGACTGTTCCTGTCCCGTCCTCACACCTGGAGCTGGTCTATGGGCATGATGACATCAGGAACAGTCCATTCACAAGACTGCTAGTGTTCAGGGGGAAGACCGCTAGCGTTCAGGGGGAAGAAGTGGCAGGGACTAGTCTTGCGCTCTGAGGATCAGCGGATTCGATAAGTATATCTTCACTTTTATGATCCCTAGACAAAAATGAGCAGATGGCCCACGCAGTGCAGGCACAGCCCCACTGCATGGTACAAAAAAATGTTGCCCAGATTTCTGTTTTAAACATTTAGAAGTATACTGTATAAGGCAGGGGCGGACTGACAACTCATGGGGCCCCCGGGCAATAGGGGATCATGGGGCCCCTGTGTGCTTGCCCATACCCAAAAAAGCCTATGAAAAAGCCAATGAAAGGTACCAGGGGCATCTCATGGAGCCCCCTACTGACAGTGCCCGAGTGCTCGAATGGTCAGTCCGCCCCTGGTATAAGGTATGATGGAAATTTGAAACGAGAAGTCATATGTTTGAAATGAAAGAAGAGACTCACCTTTCTTAAAGTGTCCAGATGAACATTAATGGCAATTTCGGCTCTCAGTTTGTCGGGGAGATTTTTCAACACCTCCCTTTCATCCACTGTCTTTTCAGCTGTCCATACGTAGTCAAACCATCGGATGACTTTGGCCTCCAATTCCTTGCTTACTTTTCTAAACTGCATGTAATGCTTGATGGCATCTATTTTAGCCTGGAACTCGGTCCTCGTTGCATTCATGTTTGAGATCATAGAGCCCACATTACCAACAATGGTGGCGAAGATCAGAACTCCAACCAAAAAGTCAAAAACGATGAATGTATACTCTGTGTCGGTCATGGGGGTAGGTGAATTCCCGATGGTGGTGAGAGTCAAAGTTGACCAGTACAGACAGTAGACATATGCACGAGTAAGGGAACCATGTTCAGTAGCAGTAATATTTGGGTAGACCCATGTATCTGTACCAAACCCAATGGCCTTAGATATAACATAATAAATGCAGGCATTCCAGTGTATAATAAGTATAATATACAAAACTAGGTTAATGATTCTAAAGATATTGGGGTAGCTGGTCCGAGTCTCCGTTTGGTCGAAGCATTCAAACATACGTGGAAAGTGCAGAAGTCTGTTGAAGCGCAGCTCTGGCCAATGCAGTCCAAGTGCCAAGTAACCAAAATCGGTTGGAAGTATCGAGAGTACATCCAGTTTAAACTGCAATGTATTGATATAGTTGTCACTTAGCATTTTTGTATCTCGAACCAACTTCCCCTGTTCCAAAAATCCTTAAACAAAAGGAGAAAAAGTTAGGTGGATGGCAAGATCTGCATTTGCATGCTTACAAGGTTATAATGCTCACAAGACCTGAATAAGTATTGATGCAGAAAACGTATCCTGACATCATAAGTATAGAAAAGACATTAACAACAGTTTCTAGAAGCCCAACTCCAGCCAAAACATTTTATTTCATCTTGTATACAATGGCGAAGGGGTAAAGCCCTTATCACGTTTTTTATTGCCATCTCTGTTCTCCTTGGAGACATTTCCCATCATTTCTGTTTTTTGAATGATGGGAAATCTCTCCAAATTCTAGAGATGACCACACACCTCCTCAAAGCTTTGGCAGCCTTTGCCTACTCACCTTCTCTTCATCACTGTCCTCCGCAGACTCATCCAGTTCCCCTGCCCAGCATCATTCAACCATCTTCCTGTGAGGGTAGGCTGTCATGGCCTCTATGATTAAGCCCCTGTTGCGCGAAACTTATCAGATGGGTTCTCCCATGGTTGGAGACCAAGCTGAAGCCATTTTTCACTAAGTGGAGCTCACTATATATCAAGGCAGTGTGCGGACAGGCGCCATTTTGTTGTGGTCCTTAATGTGTCTGACGAGCCAGTATTCAACCTGACCAACACCTGCAAACAGTGTGGCCATTTAGCTGGGACAACAGATTGGGGCATTTGAGCAATATGAGTTTTATTTGATTTTTGGTCTTCTAGGCTGTTGTAGACACACCCCCTGTCACACTGACCTGGGCTCACAGTAGTCATGGGTAGATTGGCCCTTACACAACATTGCATTAGCATCATCCTCTCCAGGAGTCAGAACTGCCCACAACTGTCATCCTGGTAGCTCTGCCAAGTGGTGTTGGCCCTGAAACTATACAGGTACCATCAGATGGGAGGTCAGTTAGTTACTCCCAAGGAACCCCAAACAAAATTTAGAGGATCTGTAGGGTTCCCCTAAAACCCTGGTTGAACTGGTCTAGGCTGTCACAGACACTCCTCCCTGGGGGTGTATCATCATGCTGGCATGGGCTCACAGTACTTGGGGGCAGAATGGCCCTGACACAATATTACATCATGTTGTCCAGGAGTCAGGATTGCCCACAGCTGTCAATGGAGGAGAAGAGGGAGAAATTGTGCTCCCAATTGGCCTAAAAACTGTTTTGTTTTTTTTAGGGCTTGTTCATGCTAACGGTTTGAGGTGTGTGGTAAAACCCTGCAGTTGAGCCATGCTTTAACTGCTCTGAAAACCACTACTCCCTGTAGCTGCAGAGACAGTATACATGTTCTGCGGCAGGAATTATGCCCCCTATCTCCTTCGGCAGGTGTAGTACCCACAGAAAGCAACCCATTCAAGTGAATGGGGCTGCACTGCAAGCTAATGCAGTGACAAAGGGGTTAAAGCAATACAGCACCTCCTCACCACCTGTTAAATGCTCTCCAAAGAGTGATTCGAACACAAATCGAACACAAATCGCTCTTAAGAGACCAAAGCTTGTGTGAACGAGCTTTTAGACTGATCGTTGGTGGTATTAAATCACCATTGTGGTTTTTTATTTTGTACAATAAAAAGAAAAAAAGACAACAACTTTGAAAATATAAAACTTTTTTCCTTGCTTTCTGTTATAAAACATATCAAATAAAATTTCCAGGGCAGTACAAACATCCCCAAAATTATATTCCTAGGTGACCTTATATTTTTGCCACAATTTTTTTGGGGAAATGAAGACACATGCTGGTACTGAGAGGGTTAAATCAAAGGTCTTGGTAATGGTGCTCTAGATACATTATTGGGATGGCTAACTGTGGTTGGACACGCTGTAGCACCACTGAAGAAGTGGACATGCTTCCATGAAATGCGTTGAGGGCGCTATAGGAAACTATGGGAATAGGATCTCTGGAGTGGGGCTATGGGTTTCTCCAGGGGGCTGGGGACGTTGCAGGGGCACTGTGGGAGACTGCAGGGTGCTTTGGTGCTGGGGGGTACTGTGGGGTTGTTGAGGGCAAGGTAGGACACTGTTGGAGGTTGGGGACACTATGAGGGGCTGGAGGCTTTGCAGTAGGCCTGGGGGTACTGTGCAACATTGGAGAGGATTGTGGAAGGTCGGGGGGAGAGCACAGTGGGGCTGAAGACTACTGAGCTCCACTATAGAAGGTTGGGAGTCACTATGGGAGCTGGGAAGCACTGTAGGAGGTTAGGGGATCTGCAGCTGGCTGGAGGCCAAGTAGAGGGAGACTGGGATGCCCGGTGATTAACTACCACTAGTCTAGATAGCTTGAGTACCATGAAAGTCTCTTACTGGCACTTTGTTTTTTAATGTATACAAAGAGCATTCATTGATGGCTAACACTGGACAATACTCGACTTCTGCTAGACGTAGAAGCAAAGGCTCTCATGGTTTTATCATTAGCCATCTAAAATCACCTGTACGGAATCGGATTACGATGTCAATGATGTATATGATGTCACAAACATAGTCCAGGGTCAGCCACACTACAATATAATAATTGGTTTGAAGATCATTAAAGCAGGCCCTGCGGAAAAAAAAAACAAGAAAGAACAGTTATTTGGAGGAAGCTACAACAGAAAAGGGCTGTCTGTAAATTTAGGATGAGTAGAAGAACAAGGAAAGCGTATCTAAAGCTAAAACACTCATTTCAGTTTTGTATGGAGTTGTGATGGGTTAGAATCCCATGTTACATTTTTATTGCTGTCTCAGTCATCACTATGGAGGTTTTCCCTCTCTATTTGACCTGCTGACCATTGTCCACTTTGGTGCGATTACACTTACAGGTCCATTTATAAAAAATTGGCAATACCATTCATCCATCGAAAACTACATGTAAATTCGTTCTGGGAAAATTGGGCAAAAGCGAGTGTTCTCAGGGTATATTCTCTGCAGGGTATATTCTATTCCATCAGGTCGACCTGATGGAAGCTTTAGTAGAGTATCCAGATGCCAAGAAGATTTTGGAAGAGAGAGGAAGGGAAATACTGACCGAGGAAGGTCTACTTGATGAGACGAAGGAGATAAATGCGATGTTGGCCATTATATTTTTCTGAAAAAATGCTGCTGTATTTCACCTTTACATTGCAACCCAGACGTACCTCACTATTAATAGGAACCAATTATACAGCACAGGCGCAGCTATGACGTAAAGCCACCGATAATACCATTTTCCTGAAGGATCAACCACTAATCTCTCAGATAACTTCACCCTGTAATTAAAATTAAAACATAAGTTAAAGCCCTATTGAGCTTTCATTCCAAATCCAGCTAAATTCATTTCAGGTGCATCAAAAAAAGTTGTTTTTTCTTAGAGTAGCCACAGCCCAAGTAAAAATGCCTATTTCCTGCCAGCATACTGCAGAGAAAGACCCTTGCTCTTAGTGGGGAAGCAGTGGCATCTGCGCATGAAGTCCAACACGTCACCTGCTGAGTGAGAGCTAGGGCTCTCCAATCAGCAAATCTAGTTGAAGTATAAATAAATAAATAGTGTGGCGCTCTAAAAATATATAAATATCATAACCGTTTGTAATACGTGACCAAAACAAATAAGTGACCAATTCATAAAGTGAAATGATAACAGGATATAAAATAAATACCTTAAGTGATCTAAACAATGAACCTAGTATCTCGAAGTTAATTAGCACATCATAAAGTGATCATATATATTGTATCCTGTATAAAGTGAACAACGTGCTAAAGTGCCAAAAAAGTGTACAAAAGCAATATATTTCAATTCTTGGATATTCTTAAAACATTCAATCCATCAAGTGATAACCAAATCATGCGATGTGCGGTGATGGAAAATGGTGATTTGTGCCAAACTCCTCTCCTACAGGTGGCTAAATTGCCTCCTCACCTCCTCTCGGTGACCACTAAGGGCCAGCAGGCTTGCAGGATCACCCTGGATCCTTATTCCACAAAAGACCAGCAGCTTTTCTCCTCCTTTATTTGTGTGAGACTCCTGTTTCTCTCACTCCACCAAGATGTTTCTGAAGGACAATGACTCACCAGTCCAGTGAGTCCAAAAAGAAAATGCCCTCTAAGTGCAGTAATTAATGACTCCTTTATTTTTAAAAAAAAGTACAGAGTGACAACACTCACATTTTCGGTCAGTCCACCCTCCTCTCCGATGTGTGGGTGTACTCCATGTGCATGGGACTTCCTAGGTGTAGTAAGATGGCGTCCTTCGCCGGAAATACGTCACCGCGCACCGGACCGGAAACTGCGGACTCGCGAACCTACGCGTTACGTCACTGTCTGCTCGTGACTTCCTCGGAGAGGAGGGTGGACTGACCGAAAATGTGAGTGTTGTCACTCTGTACTTTTTTTAAAAATAAAGGAGTCATTAATTACTGCACTTAGAGGGCATTTTCTTTTTGGACTCACTGGACTGGTGAGTCATTGTCCTTCAGAAACATCTTGGTGGAGTGAGAGAAACAGGAGTCTCACACAAATAAAGGAGGAGAAAAGCTGCTGGTCTTTTGTGGAATAAAGATCCAGGGTGATCCTGCAAGCCTGCTGGCCCTTAGTGGTCACCGAGAGGAGGTGAGGAGGCAATTTAGCCACCAGTAGGAGAGGAGTTTGGCACAAATCACCATTTTCCATCACCGCACATCGCATGATTTGGTTATCACTTGATGGATTGAATGTTTTAAGAATATCCAAGAATTGAAATATATTGCTTTTGTACACTTTTTTGGCACTTTAGCACGTTGTTCACTTTATACAGGATACAATATATATATGATCACTTTATGATGTGCTAATTAACTTCGAGATACTAGGTTCATTGTTTAGATCACTTAAGGTATTTATTTTATATCCTGTTATCATTTCACTTTATGAATTGGTCACTTATTTGTTTGGTCACGTATTACAAACGGTTATAATATTTATATATTTTTAGAGCGCCACACTATTTATTTATTTATGTTTACACTGTATCAGGTATCAGCAGGAGAGTGTTGGCAGCTTTAAGGTTGTTTTATTTTATTGTATTTTATTTTTTCACCATTTATAGCGCAGGAGGAACATTGATCAAATCTAGTTGAAGCATGCGTTAGAACTGGGGTCTCCATGCTGCAGCCCGTGGGCTGGATGCAGGGCTGTCTTAATAGCATCATGGTCCCCTGGAGAAAGTAGTGCACTGGGGCCCCTTCCAGCATGCCCCAATTTACGTACCCACTCTCAAGATTTAAAGTATAAATAGTTCATAGAATTAAAAATATTTATTAGTACTTTTAGTCAAATTGATTTTAAACAATAAAAAAGCATATCGTGCATCAAAGACTAATTAACACAAAGGGCACAGTACGGGGGCAGGCAGAAGGACACAGTACAGGGGGAGTCAGGAGGGCACAATTCTGGAATAAGGAGGGCAGAGGACAGGTTCTTGGATGCTGCCCGGGAAATTCAGGGACAGCTTAGTAAAAAGCGTGACTGTCCTGGCAAATCCGGGACAATTGGCAAGTATGATGTAATGTAAGATCATCATGGGGCCCCTATGCACCTGGGCAGGGCTGCTGTTAGAAACCACAGGGAACCAATACAGCCAATGGGACAGCCCCCCCCCCAAAAAAAAAAAAACACAGTCTACTATGCTTCAGTTATGAATGCATACAGTGAGTGATCGATACCGATCACTCATTGTGTTCATTCGGGAAATCAAGGGCTTGTTAATGTGTCATATTTAATGGACCATTTCCCCAACTGTCCATCCTGAAGGATTGTATTGTGTGCTTGCAGGTGGGAAGTAGAGGAGGGTGAGAAGCTGGCAGCACTGTGGGGGTGGGGGCACACAGAGGGGCCTGGGCAGCAGGGGGAAAAGTATGGTGCACAGGGAGTGTGATGGGTGCGGTGGGTGCTGGAACCAATTCCCTGGCATGGTTCTCTCTGCAGCAGCTGAAAGCCAGTGGGAGGAGAGGAGCTTTCAGGTGCTGCAGAGAGAGCCATACAGGGGATCGTTTCAGTAATTTGCCCTCCCAACGTACCATTCACTCTCCCTACCCCACATCCGATTCACCCAGCTGCCTGGGCCCCCTGCTGGCCTGGGCCCCGTACAGGAGGACTGGTGGTACCCCCTTATCTATGGCCCTGCACCTGGGGTCCCTGGGCAGTGCCCAGGGGTGCCCATGCATTGAGACAGCCCTGGCTGGATGCGGCCCTTTGCTTGCCTTTATCCGGCCCTCGGGGCACTATTCCTTCCACTGACATGAGGCACAATTCCTTACACTGACACCAAAGGTAGGGCACTATTCCTCCCACTGACACCAGCATTGGGATACTGTCAGGGCTCCCGGGTGTGACAGAGGTATGTGACTGACGCAGGGAAACGCAGACTTCAGATAAGTTATAAACAATATAATTTATTAACACTAACAATACAAACATAAACGCAGTGCAATACTAAAACATATCACAGTGCAAACAAAAACCAAACCAACACCCACAGAAAAACAATATATACAATGCAAGCGTCGTCAGGCAGGCCGGGTTAATAACAATCGGGCAGGTAGGTACAGGGGGAGCAAGCGGAGAATGGTTGGGGTCACAAGCCAGGTTCAGCAGGTAGCGGGCAGCGTGGTACAGAGGGTCAGGCAGAGGGATGGTCAGGAACGAGCCGGGGTCAGAGCAGGAGAGGGTCAGCGTAATCAGAACAGGCAGAGTTTGGCAACAAGGAAACGTACTAGCAGGAACACAGGAACAGGAACAAGAATGCAGGATTACAAGATACAGGGCCCAGGAAAAACACACACACCAAGGCAAAGACTGCAGGTCTGGCCATCACTTAAATACACCTGCATAAGCAGTTTCAGGTGTTTGGCTGACTGCAGGGTTGAGTCTCTGATTGCTGGGAGCACCCGCTGGCCAGCCCTGGTACTGCAGCCCACAAGGCAGGTGAGTCCCACCACTACTGGCAAGTCCATTCCTAACAGATACTATTCCTCCCACTGATACCAGAGATGGGTACTAATTCTCCCACTGACACCAATTATTGGGCACTTTTCCTCCCACTGCCACCAACGGTGGGACACTATTCTCCCACTGACACCAATGATGGGACACTATTCCTCCCACTGACACCAATGATGGGACACTATTCCTCCCACTAACACCAATTATGTATTTGTTTTTATTTCCACTGTCATGACAGGCAGTAAATTGGCCCTTTGTTTTGAAAGTTTGGAGACCCCTGCTTTAGAATAAGGAAACTACCATACTCAAGAGTTTAGTGGCCTCCCTTAAAAATCCACTATTCCCATACAAAGCAGCACTTGAGGCCCTGATGAAGGGAGTACTTTACAGTCCCTGAAACATGTTGGGCTGTTTATTAGGACTTCTATAATGCAATAAATATCTTTTCACAATAAAAATATTATTGTAGCACTTTTTTTCCATACGGCCTCCAGATTCTTTTGTTAGGGTACCCCTCTCACTCTCACTAAAGGTGATGCATGGGATCTCAGGATGCAGTGCTTGAACAGCAACAGGTCATTAACTCTGTGTAAGCTCCGTCACTAACTGACACAGAGTTTACATAGGGTTCAGAGTTTCAAAGATAAATGGAACAGTGAAGGGGCAGAGAAGGTAAGTATGTGTGTGTTGTATCCCATCAAGAGAGCCTGTCACTTTGCCCTGAAGTGACAGGGAATTGGACATCCCAATCCAAAACCACGGGCAAAAATATTGAGTAGCCTTCCCGCCTATTCCTTCTTGTTTTACATCCTCACCCTCCCAGGAAGTCATTCAACAAGATTCTGAAATGTGTCGTTGGGAATTTTTGTCCAGTCAGCCAAAAAGAACATTTGTGAGGTCAGGTTGAGATGTTGGAAAAGGTGTTCATTAGGTTTGAGGTCAGGTACTGGCACTGGATAAGAAGACCTGTTCCCAGAGTGGTTCAGAAGTTTTGAAGTCAAGTTCTGAAGTTAGATAAGAAAACCTGATCCCAAAAGGTGTTCAGTAGGATTGAGGTCAGGTTTTGATTTTAGATAAGAAAACCTGATCCCAAAAGGTGTTCAGTAGGATTGAGGTCAGGTTCTGATTTTAGATAAGAAAACCTGATCCCAAAGGTGTTCTGTATCTTTGAGGTCAGGTTCTGATGATGGATAAGAAAACCTGATCCCGAAAGGTGTTCAGTAGGATTGAGGTCAGGTTCTGATTTAAGATAAGGAAACCTAATCCCAAAAGGTGTTCAGTAGGATTGAGGTCAGGTTCTGATTTTAGATAAGAAAACCTGATCCCAAAGGTGTTCTTTATCTTTGAGGTCAGGTTCTGATGATGGATAAGAAAACCTGATCCCGAAAGGTGTTCAGTACGATTGAGGTCAGGTTCTGATTTTAGATAAGGAAACCTGATCCCAAAAGGTGTTCAGAAGGATTGAGGTCAGGTTCTGATTTTAGATAAGAAAACCTGATCCCAAAAAGTGTTTAGTAGGGTTGAGGTCAGGTACTGATGTTGGATGAGAAGACCTGATCTCAAAGGTATTCAGTAGGGCTGAGGTCAGGTTCTGATGTTAGATAAGAAGACCTGATCCCAAAGGTGTTCAATATCTTTGAGGTTAGGTTCTGATGCTGGATAAGAAAACTCAATCCTAAAGGTGTTCATTAAGTTTGAGATCAGGTACTGGCATTGGATAAGAAGACCTGATCCCAGAGTGGTTCAGTAGTTTTGAAGTCAATTTCTGATGTTAGATAACAAAACCTGATACCAAAAGGTGTTCAGTATCTTTGAGGTCAGGTTCTGATGATGGATAAGAAAACCTGATCCCAAAAGGTGTTCAGTAGGATTGAGGTCATGTTCTGATTTTAGATAAGAAAACCTGATCTAAAAGGTATTCAGTAGGGCTGAGGTCAGGTTCTGATGTTAGATAAGAAGACCATATCCCAAAGGTGTTCAGTATCTTTGAGGTCAAGTTCTGATGTTGGATAAGAAAACTCAATCCTAAAGGTGTTCAGTAGGGTTGAGATCAGGTTCTGACCTGATCTCAAAGGTGTTCAGTAGCTTTGAAGTCAGGTACTGATGGACAAGAAGACCTGCTTTACATTCTTCATTCCATTTCAGGTTAAAGGTATTCAGTAGGTCAGGGTTCTGTGCAGGACACTTGGGGGTTTATTTACTAAAGCTGGAGAGTGCAAAATCAGACTCACTTCTGCATAGAAACCAATCAGCTTCCAGGTTTCATTGCCAAAGCTTCATTGAACAAGCTGAGGTTAGAAGCTGATTGGTTTCTATGCAGAAGGGAGTCTGATTTTGGACTCTCCAGCTTTAGTAAATAAACCCCTTGAGGTCCTCCACACCAAATTCATAAAGCCAAGGAGCTAGCTTTGTGCACAGAGGCACAGTGATGCTGGAATAGAAAAAGGCCTTCTCCAAACTGTTACCACATAGTTGGAAGAGCTCAATTGTCTTTAATCTTTTTGTATGCCAATTTTTGTCAGTGGAGATTACATTGCCATGCACCTGGTTTAAGACGTCCAAGAAGTTCATATGTGTGTGATGGTAGTATTTTTTTGTCTTACTGTTGGGTTGTCTTGGTTTTTACTTTTGTATCTTGAGTTTGTTTCTCCTTTCCAGCATTTCCTTCTGTTGCTTGCACTTCAGCTCCACGGAATCGGTCGAGAAACGAATCAGGCCTTTGGTCTTGATCACGTAGGCTCCTGTGGGCCCATTCCCGCAAGACCACCACTAGACGCACTATCCTAAAAGTGTTACATAAAAAGTTCAATCAGCCAATAGATTGTGTAAGCAAAACATGTAGATAGAGCATGCCAAGTATGAGGACCAGAATACAGAATGTGTCCATGTTTCATATATTTCATCTATAACTAGACTATCAGGACGACACCACCAAGAGAACCTATGGAGCATCCTTCATAGAACAGGGCTGATTAAGGCCAGAGCATCTGAAACACATTAGCTTGTCTTTTAGGACATTAGCTTGACTTTTGGAATTGCTTCTTTTCACCAAATATTGTTTCACCATTTTTAGATTACTGGCTGGTATCAGACCTGGGTCTTGTCCCCAGTTGTGAAAAATGTTTTAGTAGTGGTGGTGCTTTTTTTAAAAATTTTTTTATGGCTTGGGGCTCTTTGATATGTATATATATTTTTGTACTTCGAGGGCTTTTTCACATGTGTGGTAGAGGGGGGCTGGGAGGCGGCTGCCCCGGGTCGCAGTGGCCTCATGTGAGGGGCACACTGCATAGTGCTGGATCTTCTTGTTAGATTTGGGATCCTTAGCATTCCCTGGATCTCTCAGAAGAGTCTGTTTGGTGTCACCCTTGCCTAGGCATCATGGGCAGGAAGTGTGGCCTTTGGATGACAACAGGGAGCTATCGACGGTATGGCTGCCTGTAACTCCCCAGCAGGGGCGGACTGACCATTTGGAAACTCGGGCACTGCCCGAGGGCCCCGGGGTCAGTAGGGGGGCCCCATGAGATGCCCCTGGTACCTTTTTCACAGGCTTTTTTGAGTTTGGGCAAGGACACAGGGGCCCCATGATCCCCTATTGCCCGGGGGCCCCATGAGTTGTCAGTCTGCCTCTGCTCCCCAGTAGTGCACGCAAGGGTGACAACTAGGAATGCACCAAACTACCGGCTGCCAAAATTTATTGGCTGAAAATAGGGTGAGTGACATTATGCTGATAGAAACAAAAGTGCCGATAATGGCATGCTGCGTCCCATAGACTTAAATGCAAAATCACGTTCTACTGACTTCAATGTAAAATTGTGTCACCTAGGCTTTAACACAAAAACGCCCCCTAGTGACTTCAATGGAAAATCGCCCCCTAGTGACGTCAATGCAAAATCGCCCCCTAGTGACTTCAATGCAAAATCGCCCCCTAGTGACTTCAATGCAAAATCACCCCCTATGAAGTCAATGGAAAATCGCCCCCTAGTGACGTCAATGCAAAATCGCCCCCTAGTGACTTCAATGCAAAATCGCCCCCTTTTGACGTCAATGCAAAATCGCCCCCTAGTGACGTCAATGCAAAATCGCCCCCTAGTGACTTCAATGCAAAATCGCCCCCTAGTGACTTCAATGCAAAATCGCCCCCTAATGACTTCAATGCAAAATCGCCCCCTAGTGACTTCAATGCAAAATCGCCCCCTAGTGACGTCAATGCAAAATCCCCTAATGAGGCTGCCCCCTAGTAACGTCAATGCAAAATCGCCTTCTAGTGACCTCAATGCAAAATCGCCCCCCCTAGTGACGTCAATGCAAAATCGCCCCCTAGTGACGTCAATGCAAAATCGCCCCCTAGTGACGTCAATGCAAAATCGCCCCCTAGTGACTTCAATGCAAAATCGCCCCCTAGTGACGTCAATGCAAAATCGCCCCTAGTGACATCAATGCAAAATCGCCCCCTAGTGACATCAATGGAAAATCGTCCCCTAGAGACTTCAATGCAAAATCGCGTCCCATAGGCTTCAGTGTGAAAAGGCATCCCATAGACTTCAGTGTAAAAACGCCAGCCACATTAACCACTTGCCTACCAGGCACTTTTACCCCCTTCCTGCCCAGGTCAATTTCCAGCTTTCAGTGCTGTCGCACTTTGAATGACAATTGAGTGGTCATGCAACACTGTTCCTAAACAACATTTTTTTTTTTTTTAGACAGACAGAGCTTTCTTTTGGTGGTATTTAATCACCTCTGTGGTTTTTTTATGGTTTTGCTAGACAAACTAAAACTGAAAATTAAAAAAAAAGTTTCTTCTTAGTTTTTATTATAAAATTTTTGTAAATAAGTTAATTTTATTCCTTCACTGATGTGCGCTAATGAGGCTGCAGCGATGGGCACTGATAGGAGGCACTGGTGGGCATTGACAGGCATCACTGATGGGCACTGAAAGGCAGCAGTCATATATGGCACTGATAGGTGGCACTGATAGGTGGCACTGTCGGGTACTGATAGTCGGCACTGATTGGAACTGTTAGGTGGCACTGATTGGAACTGTTAGGTGGCACTGATGGGCAGTGATAGGCAGCACTGACTAGCACTGATAGGTGGTACTGATAGGTGGCACTGACTGGCCATGATAGTTGGCACTGACTGGCATGGATAGGTGGCACTAATAGGCAGCACTGATAGGCGGAACTGACTGGCACAGATATGCAGCACTGATTGGAACTGTTAGGTGGCACTGATTGGAAACTGTTAGGTGACACTGACAGGCACTGATAGTTGGCTCTGACTGGCACTGATAGGCGGTACTGATGGAACTGTTAGGTGGCAGTGATTGGAACTATTAGGTGACACTGACGGGCACTGATAGTTGGCTCTGACTGGCACTGATAGGCGGCACTGATTGGAACTGTTAGGTGGCACTGATTAGAACTGTTAGGTGACACTGATGGGCACTGATAGTTAGCTCTGACTGGCACTGGTAGGCGGCACTTACTGGCACTGATTGAAACTGTTAGGTGGCACTGATTGGAACTGTTAGGCAACACTGACGGGCACTGATAGACGACACTGATGGGCACTGATAGGGGGCACTGACTAGCACTGATAGGCAGCACTGACTGGCACTGATAGTTGGCACTGAAAGTCTGCTCTGATGGGCACTGATATGTAGCATTGATGGGCACTGCTATGTGACACTGATGGGCACTGACAGGTGGCACTGATGATCATTGTAGATGTCCCCTCTGAGGAATCTCCGGCCTCTCCTCTCCTCTCGCGCTGTATTATTTATTTATTTTTTTAAAACTGTCAGATTCAGTTTCGATTTTCGGCCAAATGCATCCTAAACTTTCGGTTTCGGCACTGGGATGTTCATTTTGGTGCACCACTAGTGAAGGAGCTGACAAGGACACAGCATTTCTGGCAAGATCAACAGGAATTTTCTGTACTTGCTGAAAGTGATCCTAACCGGGAAAAAATAGAAAACGAATGCAGCCAGCCGACACATCTAAGCGGCAGTGTGATACATTTATGTATTATTATTTACATGTTTTGGGACTATTTTTTTACGTGTTTTTACCTTACTGGACACAGAGCTCCCCGCCCTCTAAACGATGCCTGTGACACCACATCACCATGTCTGAAATAACTCTTTGTAGCTCCGAAGAGGTGTCATCGCACACTGATATCGCCCTAAAGGACATAAAGCGTTAGAGTAAAGCTTGTGGAATATCATTTATCAGATGATACTTTTAATCATTTACACTAAATTAATTTAATACACATTTATTTTGTGAAAGATACAATATTCTAAAATAGTGTGGACACCAGCTAGGAGAATAAAGCCGGGGATGCTCAGGAGACAGTCCAATAGAAGTCTATGAGCATATGGGGAGGCTATGACCAGGGGTCTACAAACTGTGGCCTGGGGGCCGAATGCACCCCTTTGCTTGCCATTTTCTGGCCCCTGGGGCCCATGGGGCATAGTTCCTGTTACTGACACCTACAGTGGGGCACTATTCCTTGCAAGGGCACCAAAGATAAGACACTATTCCTCCCATTAATACCAATGACGAGGGGGGGGCCATGTTCCTCCCACTGACACCAATGATGGGGCACTATTCCTCCCACTGACACCAATGATGGGGCACTATTCCTCCCACTGATACCAATGATGAGGGCACTATTCCTCCCACTGATACCAATGATGGGGCACTATTCCTCCCACTGACACCAATGATGGGACACTATTTCTCCCACTGACACCAATGATGGTTCACTATTCCTCCCACTGATACCAATGATGGGGCACTATTCCTCCCACTGACACCAATGATGGGGCACTATTCCTCCCACTGATACCAATGATGGGGGCACTATTCTTCCCACTGACACCAATGATGAGGCACTATTCCTCCCACTGATACCCAATGATGGGGCACTATTCCTCCCACTAACACCAATGACGGGGCATTATTCCTCCCACTGACACCAATGATGGGGCACTATTCTTCCCACTGACACCAATGGTGGGGCACTATTCCTCCCACTGACACCAATGATGGGGCTCTATTCCTCCCACTGACACCAATGATGGGGCACTATTCCTCCCACTAACACCAATGATGGGGCACTATTCCTCCCACTGACACCAATGACGGGGCACTATTCCCCCACTGATACCAATGATGAGGCACTATTCCTCCCACTGACACCACTGACACAATGATGGAGCACTATTCCTCCCACTGATACCAATGATGGGGCACTATTCCTCCCACTGACACCAATGATGGGGCACTATTCCTCCCACTGATACCAATGATTGGGGCACTATTCCTCCCACTGACACCAATGATGGGGCACTATTCCTCCCACTGATACCAATGATGGGACACTATTCCTCCCACTGATAATACCAATGATGGGGCACTATTCCTCACCACTGATACCAATGATGGGGCACTATTCCTCCCACTGATACCAATGACAGGGCACTATTTCCTCCCACTGACACCAATGATAGGGCACTATTCCTCCCACTGATACCAATGATGGGGCACTAATTCCTCCCACTGATACCAATGATGGGGCACTATTCCTCCCACTGACACCAATGATGGGGCACTATTCCTCCCACTGATACCAATGATGGGGGGCACTATTCCTCCCACTGATACCAATGATGGGGCACTATTCCTCCCACTGACACCAATGATGGGGCACTATTCCTCCCACTGATACCAATGATGGGGCACTATTCCTCCCACTGATACCAATGATGGGGCACTATTC